TCCTGGCCCCCCTGGCCCCCCAGCCCCCGTTGGACCACCCCACTCCCGGATCTCTGAGCATGGTGAGTCCCTCAGGGGCACAGCAGGTCCAGGTAGGGGTGGGATGAGGCTGGCATAACCATCACCCCAATGTCACTGCTGTCTACCAGGCACCTTCTACATAGCTTGCCCTTGGTCAGCCACGTCACCTAGTCCTCCGATGAGCACTGTTGTCCTTCTCTGTTCACTGATGAGGGCCAGAGAGGAGAGAACACACAGCCAGGGCATGGGGGGCTGGCTTCAAACCTAGGAGGCCTCTGAGCCTGTTCTTGGAACCAGAGGGCGTCAGGCCCTCCCGCCAAGCTTTGGAGCTGGCCAGGATCCAGCCCTCAGAGCACAGGGAAGCTCACGGCCCAGCAGCAGGAAGTGAGCCCTGAGCTCCCAAGGCTGCAGGCCTGCCCCTGTGTTAACAGAGGCCTCAGCCCCCTCCACCCAGCTAGGCCCTGAGGTGCAACCTTCACCTCTTCCCAGGCTAACCTACATGTGTGATGCCAGAGGGCAGAGCTTGGAGTACCAGCTTCAGCCCCATATGGGTCACATCAGTGCATGACCGGGCACCATCCATTTATTTTCCCATTCATCCCATCTCACCATTCGTTCTCCCTCTGCGAGCCTCAGTTTCCTCATCTGTACAATGGAGATAATGACAGAGCTCTGTGACACTCATGCACAGAAGCCTGGCCCAAAGTAGGTGATCAATAAATGGTAGCTTTTATTATCATTCCTGTTCGACATGTGACAGTACAGGCTCAGCAAGGTGGAGAGTCTTACTGGGTATCACCAGCTAGACTGTGGCAGGGTTAGAACCCAGGTCTCTCTGCCTCCTGGGCCTGTGTGGCCAACACTCTTCCCACACCCCACCCTTGGAGCAGATGCGGGGTGGCCCTAGCCACTCTGCAGGCTGTCCCACAGGGCAGTCATAGCTGGCTTGGCACAGGTAGCGGGTGAAGACTGCCCCTCTCTGCCCAACCTCCCCCGCCCACCCATCATCTTTCCTCCTGCAGGGGACCCATTTCTGTCTAACACCTTCACTGAGACCAGCAGCCGCTGGCCCCAGGGACCAACTGGGCTCCCCGGACCCCCAGGGCCTATGGGTAAGTTGAGTCCTGGTCTGGGGTAAGGGGTGGAGTTGAGGGATGGCAGAGACTAGAACTGTGGCTATCAGGAGGGAACTGATGGTAGACTTCCTGCCATTGTACTCTGTTTTGGTCCTGAGGATATCCTGTCCCTTTTTTTCATTTTTTTATTAGGGCGACATTGCTTAATAAAATTACATGTTTCGAGAGTACAATTCTATAATACATCATCTGTATTTTGTATTAAGTGTTCACCACCTCAAGTCAAGTCTCCTAGGATATTCTGTCTTATTCCAGGTCCCCCTGGACCTCCTGGTCCCATGGGCATCCCTGGGAATCCTGGACATATAGTGAGTATCTCTCCAAGTACTCTCACTCATCCGTCCATCCATTCATCCATCCATCCATCCATCCATCCATCCATCCATCCATCCTTTCTTCATTTATTCAAGTATTTATGGAGTACTGAATATGCAAAATACTTTCCATAAAGCTTCTCATTCAGTCCCTGTAACAAGGAGCAGTGTTATTATCACCTAAGGTCAAGAAAGATGGAGACACTTGCCCTAGGGCTGTGGCCAGCACATGGCAACTTCCAGATTAAGGCGGGGACTGATTCCAGGGCCGTAGTTGGGAAACAGCCGCATGAACTTCCCACTGTGTGCCTGTCATTGGATGTGTGAAGGACCCAGAGGCCCAGGCCAAGTTGGAGTTCCTTCCCAACCCCTCTGCCCCGCAAGCCCCTGCCCACTCTACCCTGCCCCAGCACAAGGCTGAGGCCCTGTCTTGTTGCTCAGGGACCCCCAGGCCCCACTGGACCCAAAGGAATCTCTGGCCAACCAGGAGAAAAGGGCGAGAGAGTGAGTACTGAATTGGCCCCTGGGTGGAGGATTCTGGGAAGGTTTGGGGGCCCTGAGTCAGACACCCCAACAGCTGACTCCATACCTCTCCTCCCTCCCACACAGGGACTGCGTGGAGAGCCAGGCCCGCAAGGCTCCATGGGACAGCAGGTGAGTGATGCTGTCCACGCTGGAGCCCCCCCCCAGGACCCCACAGGCGCAGATCCCTGCTCTGGCTCCATTCCGTGGCCAAATCCTCACTGCTTTTTGTATATCTAAAGCTGTCTTTATCTTAACTTTTGAAAGAAATTTTCACTGGCTATAAAATGATAGGTTGGCAGTTTTCTCCCCTTTCTGATATTGTCCCATGGTCTTCTGGCTTACATAGACCATTACAATTTCTCATGAGAAATTGGCTGTCATTCTTATTGTTGTTCCCCTGTATATGTTTTCTTTGGCTTTTAAGATCTTCTCTTCACTCTTGGTTTTCAGCTGATTGATCATGATGTGGTTGAGTGTGATTTTCTTTATGTTTAACCTGCTTTGGGTTCACTGAGATTCCTGGATCTGTAAGGTTTGCTTTTTGTTTTTCCTGTTTGTTTTGTTTAATTAAATTTTTTTTTTAGAGCATTATTTTGGGTTTACAGCAAAATTAAGCAAAAAGTACAGAGAATTCCCATCTATTCCCTGTCCCCACACATGCACATCGGCCCCCACTGTTGACATCTTGCACCACAGAGGCACATTTGGTACAATTGATGAACCCACACTGACATGTCATTCATCACCCAAAGTCCATAGTTTACCTTGGGGTTCATTCTTGGTGTTGTACATCCTGTGGCTGTTGACAGATGTATAATGACATGTGCCCACCATCGTAGTATCATATGGAATAGTTTCACTGCCCTAAAAATCCTCTGTGTGCCGCCCCTATGTTCACTGTAGCGCTGTTTACAATGGCCAAGATAGGAAGCAACCCAAGTGCCCATCAATAGATGAGTGGATAAAAACAGATGTGGCACATATATACAATGGAATATTACTCGGCCACCAAAAAAGAATAAAATCTTACCATTTGTGACAACATGGATGGACCTCGAGGGTATCATCCTGAGTGAAATAAGTCAAATAAAGACAAATACCATTTGATTTCACTTATACGTGGAATCTAAAGAACAAAATAAACGAACAAACAGAAAAAGACTTCTATAGATGCAGAAGTGGGAGGGGGTTGAAGGGCTGGGTGAAAAAGGTAAAGGGATTAAGAACTACAAATTGGCAGTTACGAAATAGTCACACGGATGTAAAGTACAGCACAGGGACTATAGTCAACAATATTGTAATAACTACGTGTGGTACCAGACTTAGAGGAGAGATCACTTCATAAATTATATAATCGTCTAACAACTATGCTGTACACCTGAAACTAATATAGAATAATATTTAATTTCAACTGTAATTGAAAAATAATTTTTTTAAAAAAAAGAAAAAAGCACTCAGTTGGTTAGAGCATCGTTGCAATATGCCAACCCCTAGTCAGGCACATGCAAGAATCAACCAATGAATGCATAAATAAGTGGAACATCAAATCCACCTCTCTCTCTCTCCCCCCTCCTTCCCCACCCCTTTCCTCTCTCTAAACTTAATAAGTTTTATCCTCTGGATGAGATTTTAGAGAATTGGCATAATTTATTTCTTAAATGTTTGGTTAGAATTGAGCAGTGAACCTATCTGGGCCTGGTGCTCCCTGTTTTGAAAGGTTATTAATTATTGATCCAATTTCTTTAATATGTATAGGCCTTTTCTAGTTCTTTTTGTGTGAGTTTTGACAGATTGTCTTTCAAGGAATTGGTCTGTTTCATCTAGGTTGTCAAATTTGTAGACACAGAGTTGTTCATAATATTCCTTTATTACTCTTTTAATGTCCAGGGGATCTTTAGTGATGTGCCTTCTTTCATTCTTTTTTTAAATTTTAATTTATTGATTTGAGAGAGAGAGCAAGAGATCTCTATTTGTTGTTCCACTTATTTATGCATCATTGGTTGACTCTTATATGAGTTGCCCTGACTGGGATTGAACCCACAGCCTTTGTGTATCAGGATGATGCTCTAGCCGGGGCTCCCTCTTTTATTTCTGATATTAGTAATTTGTGTCTTTCTCTTAAAGAAGTTATCCTGCCTCGGGGCTTCTCAATTTTACTGATCTTTTTAAAGAACTAGCTTTTAGTTTTGTTGATTTTCTCTATTGATTTCCTGTTTTCCTTTTCATTGATTTCTTCTCTAATTTCTATTATTTCTTTTCTTTTGCTTACTTTGGATTTAATTAGCTCTTCTTTTTCTGCTTTCCTAAGGTGGAAGCTTAGGTGGTTAATTTTAGATCTTTCTTCCTTCTAACATATATTCAATGTGATACATTTCCCTCTAAGCACCGCTTTCACTGCTTTCCAAAATTTTTGATATGTTGTATTTTTATTTTCATTTAGTGCACAATACTTTTTTAAGATTTCTTCTTTGACCCATGTGTTATTTAGAAGTATATTGTTTAATCTCCAAGTATTTTTGGATTTTCCAATATTTCTGTTATTGATTTCTAGTTTAATTCCATTGTGGTCTGAGAACAAACACTGTATGATTTCTATGCTTTTAAGTGTGTTGAGGTATATTTCGTGGCCCTGAATGTGATCTGTCTTGATGAATGTTCCATGTGAGCTTGAGAACAGTGTAATCTGTTTTTTTTGAATGAAGTCGTCTATAGATGTCAATTATATCCAGTTGATTGATGGTACTGTTGAGTTCAACTCTGTCCTTACTGATTTTCTGCCTGCTGGATCTGTCCATTCCTGACAGAGAGGGTTAAAGCCTCCAACTATAATAGTGGGTTTATCTATGTCTCCTTGCAGTTCTATCAGTTTTGACCTCTGACTCCTCAGGCCAGTAAAACTAAAGCTTTCTGCTTGAGCTGTTTGCTGGACTGAGGGGGCTGGGGTACATAGATCCTTCAGAGGAAAAGCTGTAAGTGTATGGATTTTACCCAGTACAGTTTCCTCCTTCAAAGGACACATATCCTCCAGTTCCTGGCTGCTCTTTATCACTTTCTATTGCCTTCCAACAGTTGTTGTCTGCGTTTTATCTAGTGTTAGTCCAATACAAGCTACTCTCTGTCTCTGCCTCTCAATCTCCCCACCTCCCTCAATATGTCTCTCTCTTTCCCTCCTTTCCTCCTTCCCTCCCTCCCTCTCTCCTTTCCTCTCTCATTGCTTCTACCTCTATTTCTCTTTGTAGGGAGAACCTGGCCCCAAAGGAGACCCTGGCGAGAAGAGCCACTGGGTAAGCTCCAGCCTAGCATTGATCTTCCACTATCCCCTCCTGCCCTGGGTACTCAGGAGACTATTTTGGAGTGGGGGCACCCCAGCCAAATCCCCATTGCCACCTGGTCTCCCAGGGAGGAGCTTGGACAGTTCTCAGCCCTAGCCCCCTCCCTTACCCTGTCCCTCCCAACTGGGCAGGGCCAGCCTTATCAGCAGACCCCGCGCTCTCTGTCTCTGTCTTCACATCCCTGTCTCCCCCTTCCCTCTGTGGCCTTTCCAGGCCAGGGTGACCCTGCCTGTCCCTCCTGGGCAGTGTGGGCTGACCCAGTCCAGACTGCATCCCCTGCCTCCATAGCCCTCTCCAAGCAAGGGCTTTGGCTTCTGCTCCCCTGTCTGCAGAAGAAAGGGAAGCATGAAAACAGTATCCACACAGAAAAATGGCACGGGGGCCTTAGGGAAGCCATGAAACATAGGAACATAGGAGGCATGGAAATGCTGAGGTACACAGGAGCCCGTGGTAAAAGGTGCAGGGGACCTAGACACCATCATACACATAGGAAGTCCATGAAGCATGAAAAGAGAGGTCGAGAAACTGTCATGTACATAATGTTCATGGTAAATGAGGTCAGGGGACCTAGACTCCACTATGCCCAAAATATCTGTAATTAACATGAAGTCCTAGATGCCATCACATACATAGGAGACCCAGGAGGAGTGGGCGGAGACACCTAGAAACTGTTATAGGCACAGGAGAACCAAGAAAAATGAGCTGAGGGGGTCTAGAAAGCACTATACACAAAGGAAGCCCATGAAGAAAGGGAAGGGAGGTCACATGCACAGAATTCAGAGTAAATGGGAAAGGGGACCTAGAAACCACATGTGGGGTCCTAGAAACCATCACAATCATTGGAGATAGTTGCAGTGAATGAAATTCAGGGCCTAGAAATCTAACCACCCAAGAGGCACTTTGGGGGAGGACCAAAAACCCCAACAAAAAACCCAAAATGCAGGGACCTGGAAGCCCTCACTGACATAGGAGACATTCGGCAGATGGGCGGGGTAGGGGCAGACACCCCTAAGGAGAGACACCCCTACAGGGAAGCTCTTTTGGAGGCTGGTATTGTGCCTTCCTGCTCCACCCCCGGCCCCTCTCCCTGGTGCAGTCTGGCTGGGATGTCCTACTTCCTGGCAGGCACTAGTTAGTGAGGACACAGGAAGCACCCAGCGCCTGCCTTGCCCTCTCTGCTCCTGATTGTGGGGTCAGTGATGGATACAGCCGTGGGAGTCCCCCACCCTGCACGAGTCCAACCCCATGTCTTTCCTTGACTTCTGGGGTCCTGCTACCTTTCCGGCGAGCCTCTCCCAGCTCCTTGCTGCCACTCCGCCACCCTCCCCGACACCCTCCCGGGTGGCTCCAGAGCATACTGGCAGTGTGGGCATGAGCTGGGCTGGGGGTCAAGTAGACCTGTGTGAGCCCAGCCCTCTGCCTCCCCTCAGCCCCTTCACTGGCCTCTCCCAGCACAGTTTCCACCCAGCCCAGGAAAGGTTGGGAGAGCGAGGTGAAGTCTGAATTAGGCTAAGCAGCCCCATCCCAGCAGAGCAGATGCCTGAACTATCCCAGATCAGGCCTCAAACTCAGGACCACCTGTGGGAGGGGCGCCCAAGAGGTAGCAGGGCCCCTGCCCATCCACCTGCCTCCTCCTCACCCACCTGCACTTCTGTCCCTGCTTGCTGCCTGCCTGGGGGAGGGGCCTGCGGGGCTGGGGGCTGCATGAGGCTTTGCAGGCTGGGCGAGCAGCTCTGTAGGGAGCAGGAGGGAATGGGGTCCAGGGTGAGGAATGGCCCTGAGGACTCCTACAGGCACCCTACCTACCAACCCCACTTAATGCAGCTTCCCCAGCCGCTGGCCCTCCTGTGGCTCAGCAGTGCCACCCAGTGGCCATGTGCAGGCACTGCTAGGGAGTGACAGCTGAGCCAGCTTATCTGGAACAAAGCTCTACCCCTTATTTAGACACGAAAAACTGAGGCCCGACTCTGCAGAGCGAATTGTTGGCAAAGCTGGAACTGAAGCCCAGGCTTCTCGGCTCCCAGGACTGAGGGAGCCAGCTAACATCCCCCAAGCACCTCCTCGGTGGGTGCGGGGCCCTAGGACACAGATGCAATTGGGACACAGTCCCCGCCCTTAGGGTGGTCACAGTGGGGTGGGAGAAACAGACTAATAACCAGCAGCGACAGGACCTGGGTAGCTCAGCTGGGATGGGGGAGGACTTAGCCCCCTCCCGATGGAGACCCGGGCTAAGGCCTGAAAGATACATTCGCCAAGCCACGGGCGTTCAGGCAGAGGAGCAGAGCATCGTGTGCAAACCCTTGGAGAGGCAGAGTGTGACAGGACAGCGGTCAAAGGCTTTCAGGACCTATTGAGGACTTGAACTTCGTTCTATGGGCAGTGGGGAGTCAGGTAATAATTTTGAGCAGGGAAGTGACGATGTCAGATTTTTGTTTGCAGAAGAACCCTCTATTGCTGTGTGGGAATGGATGGGAAAAGCAGAAACAGACTAGGCTGTGGGGCTGGAACTGAGAGTGGGGACAGTGAGGATGGGCAGATGTCAGTGGAGCTAAGAGCACTTGGGTGCTAGTTTGGCTGTGATGGGGAGACACACAGTAGCAAAGGAGAGCCGGAAGAAGCAGGCCCGCTGAGTTCTGTCCATGGAAAATGGGAGGTGTCTGTATTATGGCCGAGTGGAGGTGTCCAACAGACCCTGGCCACTGGGGGGGGGGG